TTGGATGATAAGCAAACTGAAGTGAGTCAAACGCAGGAGGGAGGCTGGAGACAATAAAGTCCTTTATCAGCCTTTCAAAACATTTCATAATGATGGACGTAAGTGAACAGAGATGATAATCATCTCTGATTGAAGACTTTTTTGCCACTGACAAAATAATAGCAATCTTAAAACAATGGCACCACTGCCTGCTGCAATGATTAAATTAAATTTTAAATTAAATATGTGCTATTCCAGATTTAGCCTTCATCAGAAAGTAATTTATAACTTCTTCAAAAACCTGATTTAAGTTTTATGGTAAAAGTTTGCAGACACTTTTATACGTTAAGCCTAAGTTACGCTTTACACTAAAGTTGCGGCACTAAGTTTGTCTTAATTTAATTAGTTTGTAGTAAGGACTTGATTTTAAAAAAAGAAAGACTTTCTGCAAAGGAAATAGGAAATTTGCATAGGAAACATCAAATTAAAACAAATGGGAAAAATTATTTCCTGAATCTCCTTTTTCCAGATGCAGATAAGTACTCTCATGCTTGAAGGGCAGTTATCTATATTCATGGCACTTGAAACTGCTTGCTATTTAGGACACATTTATGAAGTTTCGTGGCCACAACAAATACACTGATTGAGAAATGTGTCTGAAATTTGTAATGCACAGCCAGAGCAGAAAAGTAGAATACTGGATGTCTCAAATCTAGTTTCCCAAAGCCCTCTGGGTTTTCACACCATGGCCCTGCCTCCTATTTTGGGATAGGAGCCTGTTAGTCCCAGGGACACCTATCTGGCTTTCTACCCCATGTCCCAGTACGTGAAAGAAATAGGGCATGCATGTCCTGCCTTTCTGTTAATTAAAAGGTGAAAATGAAGAGAGGGAAGTCATACTTTCTGTAATGCAATCTCCTGGCAATATAGTTTAGAGCAGTGGTTCTCAACCTGTGGGTCGGGACCCTATTTGGGGTCGATTGACCATTTCATGGGGGTCGCCAAGCAAGGCTGTCCGCCATTTTTCCCCCCCTTTTCCAGCGGGTGCCTTACCTCCCTTGGGCTGGGCCAGCTGGTGGTCGGCCTGCTCCGTCTCTGCCGCTTGCCAGCTACGCCTCGGCTGGCGCAGGGGGCAGAACCACGCATGCGCGGCGCTCCCGGGCAGGGAAAGTCCTCGACTTACGACCGGTTGGGTACTCCTCGACTTACGACCGGTTTAGTCCTTGACTTACAACCGGTTTAGTCCTTGACTTACGACCGGTTTAGTCCTCGACTTACGACCGGTGGGGTCGCGGCATTAAAAAGGTTGAGAACCACTGGTTTAGAGACAGATGGCTAGAGAATTTCAGTCTTTCCATGGGAGACAGTCCAAACTCACAACAGATTAAACAAATCTAAATTTTATGATAAGAAAGAGAGAAAATGTAACAAAACTACCTTTAAATATCCAAAATGTAAAGATTCAGTAATTGAAAGACATCAGTTACTTTGGCATCCTTTTCTTTCCCGAAAGGAAGAGGTTCCCATTTCTTTTCTTTTGGGTGAGATTGGAAGGGAGATGGTGATGGATGAAAAGATAATTCATTCCCCATGTTGCCTGTGTGCAGTAAGTCAGCAAGCTAGCAGTAAGATTTACGTATGGATGCTTACATTCGATATTGCCCGATATTGCCCGAGTTTGAAAAATATCATAGCTCTGGCAAAAGAAGAAAACTTTTCATATTGATGTACGTGGCTTTGTCTTTATTACTTTTAAAAAAAGGAAACTAATTTAATACATTTAAATAATGAAATATAAATGTCTTTAGGTTTGTATCTCAGTCCACTAAAGAAGCGTATGTGATTTCCCTGTATATCAGTAATCCACTTCTGATTGGTGGGAAGAAATTTGATCTACGCTTATATGTATTGGTATCTACTTACCGTCCTTTGAGGTGCTATATGTAAGTTCAGTTTTTGTTCTATTTTGTTCTATTTGCTGCCAGGAGGTGGGGGGTGGGTGGGAATTGTAGAATTGTAGAGTTGAAAATAGACATGTAGACCAGCAAGACTAGTATTAGAAGAATCCAGCCATTCAGGATAGATACCTGTTTGTTGTTGTTAGTTGCGAAGTCGTGTCCGACCCATCGCGACCCCATGGAAAACGTTCCTCCAGGCCTTCCTGTCCTCTACCATCTTCTGGAGTCCATTTAGGCTCACGCCTACTGCTTCAGTGACTCCATCCAGCCACCTCATTCTCTGTCGTCCCCTTCTTCTCTTGCCCTCAATCTTTCCCAGCATTAGGCTCTTCTCCAGTGAGTCCTTCCTTCTCATTAGGTGGCCAAAGTACTTGAGTTTCAACTTCAGGATCTGGCCTTCTAAAGAGCAGTCAGGGTTGATCTCCTCTAAGACTGACCAGTTTGATCGCCTTTCAGTCCAGGGGACTCGCAGGAGTCTTCTCCTGCACCATAGTTCAAAGGCCTCAATTCTTTGTCACTCAGCCTTTCTTATGGTCCAACTTTCACAGCCATACATTGCAACTGGGAAAATCATGGCCATGGTTTTTCCCAGATATCTGTTTAGATCAGTGGTTCTCAACCTTTTTAATGCCGTGACCCCATAATACAGTTCCCCATGTTGTGGTGACCCCGGGTGCCAGGGGCGTGGCCAAGTGGGTGTGGCTGCCAAGTGGGTGTGGCCACCAAGTGGGCGTGGCCACCATGTTGTGGTGACCCCCAACCATAAAATTATTTTCATTGCTATTTCATAACTGTAATTT